TAAATCAGGATAGTTTTTGCTGAATGTCAGAAAGCATCTACTTTTTCTAATTTAATTTCATTAAATATAGTAAGTGAAGAAGATTCAAAAGGTCTTCTCCAATCTCTAAAAAACAAAACAAAGAAAAATTTCTAAAAAGAATAACAGCAGCAACTGAACAACAACAACAACAACAAAAAAAAAAGGGATACAATTTTAAGACAAATATTTTGAAAAATATCAGAAACAGAAAACTAGATTTGGATGTTATATAGTCTATTATGTCCCCTAATCCTATGCTTAACTCCACTTTTTAGAAACAGCAGAAATAAGTGAATTATTAGAACTTTGTTAAATCTTCAAGTTAGCAACAAGGAAATTAGAGGGGTGAGAAGGAACCCTGGAACAAGTCATGGAAAATTTCCAATGGAAGCTGTTACGCAACTTCATGAGTCTTATGTCTTGGGAGGCAGAGATTCCAAGACATGATGTGAAATACAGAGACTAATCAGAAGTCCAAGCTGTGGGATACACTTTGTGGGGGGTGGATATAGTACTCTGTGGTTTAGAATTTTTGATGGATCACAAAAGAGAGTAGAAAACTAAAATACATTTGGCAAAGGCTATATTTAGCCCCAAGGACTCTTTACTTTGCTTCTATTTCTTCAGTGTACAGAAGAGTGAATCAAAATGCAAGGAAATTCGTTCCAAGTAAGGTGGGAAGATTATCATGAAGAATTTCATTCACATTCTACCAGTTTGAAGAGAAGGTCTAGACCAGAGTATTCACATAAGCAAGAGAAATATTGTGACAACTAAGCAAAGGTACTGCAGCAAGAAACAGGAGAAGAATATATCAGGTAAAACACAAACAACCCAGTCTAGCTGAACACATAGCCTAAGGAATAAATGTTTATACCTATGAATACTTATATTAAAATTATTTTTCTATCTTGAGGTTTTGTAGATTCATACAATTTTAAGATGTAATGAAGAAAGGTCTCTTGCGCCCCTTTCTTAGTTTCCTCCAATGATGACACATGCTAAAAGAGCACATTTTGGCCCTCCCTGGTAATGCAATGGGTTAGGACATAGCACTGCAAGCTAGCTGTAGCTGCTTGGGTGCAAGTTTAATCCCTGGCCCTGGTGACCCATGGTGCAGCAGACCTCTCTTGACTCGCCTGCTGCTCCCTTCAGCATTGTATTTCAATCTGCCTGTTCTGCTCCCCGCTCTGTTTCTGGTGAATCTTCTTACCCCCTGCACTTCTGGCCTGTACCCCAGTTGCTGTATGTATGGATAAATCTTTTTCAAAAATAAAAAATGTAAAAGAGCAGATTTCAACTTGATACAGTCAACAAAAAGAAAAATTCCCTTAACCATAAGATTCCTTAGATTGCTTTCTTATAGTCACATAGTGCCCCCGGCGCCCCCCTCCCGCCTCTTTATCCTCTGGCAACAACTGATCAAATCTCCTTTAAAGGATATCATAATAGTGTGTAACCTTTTGGTACTGGCATTTTAAAAAATATAATTCTCTAGATATTCATCCAGGCTGTTGCTGTATCAATAATTTCTGCCTTTATAATGTGGAGTAATAACTCATGATGTGGACACTACAGTTGCAGGACACCTGGGTTATTTTCAGTTTTGGGAAATAATGTAAAAAAAATAAAGCCACTAAAAACTTTTATAGAGATTTTTTTGTGTGTGAACACAGGCTTCCATTTCTCTGGCATCAATGCCCAGGTGTACAATCAATGTTTTACCGGCAAGGCAGTATAATTTTATATTCCCAATAGCAAAGAATGAGTGATCCAGTTTTTTTGTGTCCTTCCAATCATGGATACTACTGGTATTTTATTTCACTAATTTGAATAGGTGTTGTTGCTCAGTCTGGTTGTAATTTGCATTGTTTTAATGATTAGTGATGTTGAGCATCTTTTCATATATTTATTGCCTATTTGCACATCTTTGGGAAAATGTCTATTCAAGTCCTTTGTTTAGTTTTAATTGGGTTATTTATACTGCTACTATTGAGTTGTAGGAGTTTTTTATGTAAATCTTGGTGTAGAAACTTACGACTGTGTGATTTGCAAATATTTTCTCCCATTTTGTAGGCTGCCTTTCTCTTTCTTAACAGTGTCCTTTGATGTACAAAAAGACATTAATCTCAATGAAGTCCAATATATCTCTTTTTTCTTCTACTGTTTTGTGTTTTGGTGTCATATCTAAGAAATCACTGCCAAATCCAATCATGAAGTTGTCCCCCTATGTTTTCTTCCAAGAGGTTTATGTTTTAGCTTTTACATTTAAGTCTTTGACTCACTTCAGTAATTTTTG